TCATCAGTGGGATACATACGTGACACAGGGCACATAAGAATATCTGTGCCATTGGGCACGATATTACAGTAGTCCTGGATACACTGAAGCCACCACCATACTGCATCACGGCAGTTGTAACGGGCTGCAACACCCTGACCTAGCAAATTAGGGATCAGACCGTGGCGCATCGTGCCAGCAAAGGCTAAGATGATATTTCTGTCAGAAACAACATCAGATTAGAGGATGATCCCAGAGTCATTGGTATGCATTCTAAAATTAGATGCTCACCTGGCCTCCAAGTACCTCCCTGTCAAAAGCATGAGACCGCGCAGCGCTATGAAAGTGTCTCTACCCCAACAGCGGAAGATTCCAGTGGAGAAATGCGGCAGACCTGCATTGATGACAACATTTTTCATGAAACAAGTCCCACATTAAAAAGTATGTAATATGTAGAAGTGTATAAGTTGGTACATCAATAATAATTATTTTAATCACAATGCAACTTAAAGGTATAGTTCACCCAAAAATGAAAATTCTGTCATTAATGTCAATCCAAACCCATCTTGAGAACACAAATTAAGATATTTTTGATGAAACCCGAGAGCTTTCTGACCCTCCATAAACAGCAACACAACTACCACATTAAGGTAGTAAATACATTGTTTGAATTGCTGAATAAAGTCATTATTTTTGTTTTCTTTGACCACAAAAAGTATTCTCGTTGCTTCATAAAATTAAGGTTGAACCACTGATGTCACATGAACTATTTTAACAATGTCCTTACTACCTTTCTGGGCCTTGAACTTGGTAGTTGTGTTGCTGTTTATGGAGGGTCAGAAATCTCTCGGGTTTCATCAAAAATATCTTAATTTGTGTTCTGAAGATGGGTATGGATCAACATGAGGGTGAGCAATTAATGACAGAATTTTCATTTTTGGGTGAACTATGCCTTTAAGCATCATTCAGCATGTAAATATGGTAGTATATGCATCATTTTATAGGCATAGCAACACTTTTAGACAATATGCAGCTGGGGCCCTGCCTGGTATCAACCAAGTGGTCCTTTTTCTGTAATTTAAAGCATTAAATAAATGTAAACAGTCCCGTCGATCAAATGATTTACATTAGATGGAACTGTGTATGAATCCAAACCTGCAGCAAGAGAAACGCAACACTGCTCCTCTTGTTTGGTCACACTGTTGAGTCGGACAGGGACATCCTCCAGTTCGGGAGAGAGTGGCGGCAGGGTGGGGACACGACCCACCCCACACATCTGAACTGAGCCCAGGGCCAGCTGCTTAACCAGGGTCGACCCATTCTGAACAAAGCTGTAATCCATTACACACATTTACAAACTACCCCCCACACAGTTCAAATATTACACTCTCATACTCCTAAATATTAAACTTAAACAGAGAACTAACCTGGACATTTGGTTGAAAACAGCATCTACAGCCGTGGCGTACGCCCCTACAATAATGGCATCAAAATAACATGGCACTAAGTAGCGTGGGATATGTTTGAGGTATGTAAATACAGCGCTGAACCACTTTCCAACCTATGAAAAATAAGAAACATTTATTTCGACAGGAAGTATGCTACAACAATGTGCATAAAAACGTCATTTTTCAATTTACAATTTAATATGAATGATTTGAAAAGGATGCAGGGTGAGTTGCATGCCAAACTTCATACCCCCCCAAACATTACAAAAAAAAACATATTTCCTTTCTTACCTCCCGCAGAGCTCCACCTTTATTCATCAGACGAGAACTCACGTAATCGATCATCCAATCACCTTGTCTTAGATTGTCACAGAACGAATGTCCAAGGTCATTTTTGGGCCGAAACTCGGACAACACAGACACAAAACCTGTGAATAATAAAAGCATGAGATTTATACAGTCACATAACTACAGTGACCCGAAACCAATCCTGCTATATGTGTATATTGGCACCTTGTAGGCCTCCATACTTCAACGGCATCCATGATGGTATATTGTAGCAGCCACCACCATCTTCCTGTTCCTCCGCGTCACAGCGGAATAACAACACGTTCAACTCAGCCAGAGTCAGTTTGGACATTAAACTGCCACATAAAACAACAGGCCTTAGTGAGAGAACTGAATTGAACTGACTCACATAATTATGCATTAAAATTAACTGTCAAACAGCACATATTTTGCTTTCTAGACAAATGAATAACTTTCATTGATGTTTTGCTTTCTAAACAAATGAATAGCTGGGAATTGTATTTGAAAATAATTAAGGTAAAAATGACTCACAAGTCTAAAGCTATTTTCAGGATGCCAGGGACATTGCTGTCAGTCAGACTGGCGGATTTATACAGCCGGTTAAACTGTGAGAGCTGAGTTCGCAAGTAGCCAACCTTTTTCTGAGAGTTTGGATCGAGACTCACCCTGTGAGATCAGTTACATGTTGAAATAAATGAATTAAGGTTCATTTAAAGGAAGAGTTCACCCAAAAACTCAATTATGTATTTGTGCTCATGTGGTTTTAAACAAACAAACACACTTCCATAGATTTTTTCCTTGTCTTTCAAGCTAAAAAAAAAGACAAAGGAGCACTATAAAAGCACCATAAAAGTGGTCTATGTGATTTGTGCCCTTGTCCTTTTTGGAGCTTGAAAGGTATGGAAAAATCTGTGTAGGTTTCTTGAAAATGTGTGTGTGTGTGTGTGTGTGTGTGTGTGTGTGTGTGTGTGTGTGTGTGTGTGTGTGTGTGTGTGTGTGTGTGT